CCTGGCCTGCAAGCCAATCTAAGTCACCACTTCCACTGCCTTCCACCTGGAACTGTTCAGCAGCAAAAGCTTGGCAATTAGTGTGCACTGATGACTGCACTGTTTCAAGGACAGCAGAAAATTAATTTTAAAATACCTATTAAAATCTAAGAGAGAAGGGCATAAAATAAATATCTGTACAATCATTAGGAATCTAATTTCTGTAGGGATGAAATCTTAAAAGTGTTTGGAGAACTGAGTCTCTGTTATTTACTTCCATTATTTACTTTATGAAAATAATTGTACAGCTTGACTGGAATAGTCATTGGTGAATTTAACTATGCTAATACACATCAAATCTTTGAGTTAAAAAAAGGCAAAAGCCTTCAATGAACATATAAACTAAGCAAGACATGGGAATTAGGTGATTTTTCTCTCTGGCATTTCTTACCATCAAGACTAGAACACAAGTTCTTGGTTTAATGATGTTTTTAATGAATACTGAGCAATTATAGATGATGTACTGAAATGGAAAAAATATTTACTATTTCAATTGCAGACATAGTCTAGTTAAAAGACAAGTACTATGCAAAACAGAAACACAGTGTTAGTAGGACAGTAGTATCATTAGGTTTGAATGAAAGTTTTGTTAGCAACAGTACCCAGTACAAAGAAATTGAAGCCTTACATGCTAGTGCACTAGCTATCCAGGAAACTCTCAAACTGATAGAAAAATAATATGGTGTTAAACAAGGACTATGAACATGCTCCCTGATGAGCAGTAATCCTTTAGGAAAATAAAATGAGCATAAAAAAAATAAAGCAGCAAATTAAACTGTTTGGAAGCTTATTCCTGCTTCAAACAGCTCCTAACACTTCAGGTTACCCATAACTTCAGAAACCATTTTCCACTGAGCAAAGAAGCATACTCACTATGTTGCAAAATTATGTGAAGAAACCCCACAAACTAACACATTACATCATTAAAGCCATAAGCTATGCATTTAAGAAGTACACATTGTAATGAACTTGAGTACAGCATAGACTCAGCTGTACAGCACAGGCACAGCCATATCCTTGCATGGTTTAATACAAGACCTAAAATCACAGCCCCACGAACAAATTAGAAATAAAAAGTAAGTCAGAAACATTGGCAAAGAGTGGGCCTTGGCACATAAATATGGCAGTGGTTCACTCAAGTGCCAGTAATAATTACTGTCTTCCCATGAACACTTCAATTCTATAAAGATATTTTTCCACATTAGAATATTCATTCTCTAAACCAATAATCACCATACCAATGAAAAAAAAACCAACAAGCCAACCCCAAACCATAAAAAGTCAGTCACTGAGTCTGGAATCAGTTTACTCAAGCTTCAGGAAGGAAAGAGCATTTCACTCTCAGAACTTTAAACAGGCTCTGTCCTAGGACAGAACCACTCAAAAGTAAAAAAACACCATCGGAGTCGATTTGCATAGGACAGAAAGTTGACCAGCCACTTCCACAGCCCCAGAGAAGTACATATGATTTAGGAAAGCTGAGCAGAACAGAATCTCCTTTCTAATTCTCCTTACTGCTTCACAATCTTTCTGGGCAGTTTCCACTACATTGAACACCAGTTGGGAAACATTTATTATTTATTTTTATATATAAAAATGCATGTGCATGAATAGAGGCTACAAGCCTAAAACAGGGTGAGAGCATATCCCTGGTTACACCAAGAACCATGGAAATACAGGGAAAAATGTATTGTATTTGGAAATGTATTTCCTGTTTCTTCCCCTATGTGCCATCAATATTTCCATTTCCCATCTTGGCAGAAGCACCATGTCATGACCCATGCCCAGTCCTCAGAGCTCCAGAAGTGGCCTTTGCTTTGTATTACCACTCAGTCCCAATGCAAAAAGCTTCTAACATGCATGACGGAATAAATAATTTCCTTTATTTTGTACACAGAACCAATACCCTTAACTACTACACAAAGCATCACTCCAATGCAAGGTAGCCATAGAACCTATTTTTCATATAACAAAAGATACCTCTTCCTACTGCTGTAATCTGAAAAAAATTAAAACCATTACATGTGTCATGGATTAATAGTAATTTTTTTTCAGATGTGTTTCAACATTTTGTCTGTCTTCAAATTGACATATGCTAAGCAGTTTATGAGGATAAAATATACAGTTATTAATCATATTTCTCTGTAAGTTTTAATTATTGAGAGACATCACATCATAGGATACTCATTATTTTTTCCTTAGAAAAGCTGATTTATAGTTAACTGCTTTGGAATGCTAAAATAAATTCACATTAAGCCTTTGATACCACATCTACCATTTCAATTCATAATTATTATAATAGGCACAATAAACCTTTCTGAAATATCCTAATATTTAAAAGAATAAAAAAGACTCACCTCAGTGCTATTACCAGAAAAAGAATTAGCTAGCAGTCTGTGTTCTAGCACTTTAATTTACTACCATAAAATGAAGAGTGAAAGTAAACAAAGTAATTCTGTAAACACTAAGGAAAAAATTAGTTGCACATAAGCTAGAACTGAAATCAACCAAAATACCTTTATTTTATAATCAGCAGTAATTTATGACTGAGCTGACAAAAATACACACATGGATAAATCCCTGAAATATAGAGTGATTATTTTTTAAATTGTCATAATTAGGCAAGAAATTTAATTCAAGAAGCTAAAGAACTTTGTGTTGAAAGCAACTTTATCAATATAGTTTCTAAAGAAAAAGGACACAACCATTGCATCTTCCTAACTTGTAAAGTATTAAGTCATTCAACAGAAACACACTGAAACCAACTTGGATTAAAGAAATAGCATTTGGCTCATCAAGACAAACATCTGTCCAGTCTAAGGCCTATAAAAGAAATTCAGTAACTTTTATCTTCTGTCATTGTTACTATGGTCACTTTTCATGGGGAAAAGCTAAGGAGATCCAAATAGAGAGTGTCTCTGATTAAATAAGATAAAAACAGGAAGATTACTTAAGAATCCAGATGACACAATACACCAATTTCATTTTGGTGACATACCTGGCAGTGGCTTGAAATTAAAATAAAAATTAAGGTAACACAGGCTATATAACCTTGTAGCATTTTCAGACTGTGATGCACCTACCTATTAATTTAGTGCTCTTTCTCACAGAGACAGGAAAAATTACAGGAAGAATGATAACACAGATGGGTAAAGAAGTAACGAGATGCCTGCTGTATATATACCACTCAACTTCTACTGGCTCAGGAACGCATCAGCAACTTCATTGCCAAAACCAATAAAAAGCAGAACCATGGAGGCAACAAACAGTGGAACCAGCTGCATCTGCTAGGAAAGCAGTACTATTAACTCAAACATATGACAAGCTACTGTCTTTGATCCTTTCTGTAATGGGCTCTGAAAGACCCTATGGAAGAGTACATTGGGAAATACCAAGTCCTTTCAAAAAAATAGCCATGTGACCCAAGAGATACACTAGGGGAGAGTGAAGGGATGAAGCTGGGGAAGGTAGAAAAGCTCATTCCCTCTTCATCCACATGCACTGCAACAGGTTGTTGGAACTGTGTTCATTGATTGAATAATTAATAACAGCTATTTTCCAAGATCATGATGTTCTATCAGCACCTAATAACATAGGATGTAATCAAGAACAGTGTTTACTATTACTCACAAAAAGTTTTATTTCCTACATCTATACACAGAAACAAAGAAACTCTTCAAATAAGGTTGACTTAACAATGAGACTGATCTGTCTTGCTGGAATTAAGTTATCTCAGTGATTTTATGAACAATTACACATACACAAAAACACCTAAGGAAAAACTAAGAGGCAGCATGACAAAATGAGTTTTCTGTCCTATTACATGCCATTTTATTCATCATACTTAAAGCTAAACCTGTACAAGTTTCTACATTTTATATTAAAGGAACTGTTTATTAGCTCAAAATATGAAAATATCAGAAACATTGAACTTATGTTCCCTTTTGCAATTTTTGTGCAGTCACTATCAATGAATCAGCACAAAGCTTTTGACAGGCACAAAAAAAAAAACCCTGAACAAAAACCACAGAGACCACAGGGCCCTTATCCAGGGTACCCAAAACAGGCACCAAGCTGATGTCTGTGGTCATCTGAAAAGCCAAATTCAAAATCTGTTACATAGAAAAGTGAAATTATAGCAATTAGTAAAGAACTCAAGAAGCAATTTAAAACAGTAAAGAGAAATTGGATCAAAACTACAGTATACAGTTAAAGACGTAAGTAAACAGACATAACTGTTTAATTCAAGATCACATTTTTACAAAAGACAAATATTAAATTTTGATCTACCAGTATGGCTTTTCCCATGAATCAGTGGGTGTATCCAGACATTAAACTGAAAACTGTCAGTTATCCAAGAAAACTAGAAGTGATTAATTATGTTAGGAAGAACTAATGTCAAGAAATGAAATTGAGATTCATGTAAAATTAATAGCATTAAGATAAACACCACTATGACTTGATTTTGGAAGATGTTTCACCTTCAGTTTGTCACACTGTGGCAGCATATTTAATCTGTGAACTTTCATCTTAGAACACTGAAAGATAAGGCATAATTAAAAAAAAATCAATAAACTGAAATGCACGTGAGCAAAACAAAAATTAAAGTAAAAAGACTAAAGAAAGTAGAAATCAAGTTTTGGCTTGTGGACATGCACAAAATTAAAAAAAAAAAAAACAACAAAACAAAACAAAATCAAGTTAACAACTGTTGGCACTTATCCACAATAAATTGTAGGGTAATGTAAAAAACACAGCTAATAAACAGGATTGGTTCACAATGAAACTGTACAAGCCATTAATTCACATTGAAACAATACACCTGACTGCAGTTTTGAGCAAAAAAACTAACTTAAAATTCTATTTTATTCAAATTTGAAAAACTATTTCCACTAGTTAAAATACATTAATCCCCAAAGTTTTACAGTAACTGATGACTTTCAATCACTCACACAACCACATCATAAATCCCTGAAACATGTATTTATTATAGAAATACTGATAAAACCTTAACAGATACAAATGATACATCACATAGTGTCTTACACCTTAATGGCAAGTACTTGACTCAGATTGGTAGGTGCATCACTCCTACTTTTACACTCTAATACCATCCTCTAGGACCAAATGGTTTAAACTGAATTCACAACAGTTTGCAGTTACCTAAAAGCAATGATTTTTTTAAAATCAAGCTAGAAAAGATTATTCTGACCAGTATTCCAAAACTTTTGGAAAGAGAACACCCTAGTGGGGACTAAACACAGTATGCATGGAGAGTCATTGCAGTGAACTCAAAAGTCATTTCAGAATCAGCATCCCTGAAGAGATTTAGTATACAGCAGTATGTCCCTTGACATCACTTACATGGTGCATCTGTGCATCTTAGGACCTTACTGTACCAGCAGGTCTTAGGACTGTTGAAATTAATCTCAATCTGGCACAAGATTTCTGCGGGGAAGGGCAATTCCTAAATGAAAGGCACTCTGCTATGAGTGAAATCAGAATTATCAGCAACACAAATGGATCACTTGTAACATATTGAAGGGAAATACTCCAGCTTACACAAGGTTTAAAATTCAGTACTTTCTGTAAAATAGGTGAAAAAAAATTTAGAGCAGCTGTAGTGCATCTGTTTACATGCACACAGACACTAGCCATTGCACAAGCAGAAATCTTCCAAGTATCTCAACAGTTGTTTGGTTTTTTTCCTCTGGTGCTTTTCTCACTTGGGTGAAATCAAGCTTCTACAGATCAAGGTGACTCGCAGAACAGCCCACCACTGCACTGTGTCCTGCAGCCCCCACAGCAAGCACATCTCTAGAGAAGTTACAGCTGTGGTCCTTGGTAGCACAAGAGCACAGGCACACAGCACAAGTTTATAACTTGATTTCTCTTCATACCTTTCCTTTTTTCTCTATCCTTCTTAAAAAAAATCATCTTGGAAAGACAGCTTTCCTTAAGGACAGGAAAACTTATGCTTGTTACTCTGACTAAGGGATGTGCAAAACAGAAGTAATTTCCCTGAGGCAAAGATCTTCAAGTCATGCCTAATTTACATTGTCTATTCTTATTACACTTATTAAAATATTTGGCACACTGAGGCCTTGATCACTGATTGAGTCTCCTGGTATTACCACAGTCTGTATTATGCATTTATATAATAAAGCAGAAGTTGCAAATGCTTCATTCACTCATTGTGGTTTGGTTTTTCACATTTACTGATTAAAATCCCTTTCCTTCTCAAGGGTGGCATTGGGTCTCCTGGGTATGGAGGTAGAGTGAGAAACTTCTACTGTATTTAAAGGCTGTCATGAATACTGAATGCCTAAAAGGGCAATCACAGTTTTTGGACTCGGAACACAAGTAACAGGATGACATGTAATATCCTGTTACATACAGCATGCTACTTGGTCAAAAGTAGGTGATGAAACAGTTGCTTCTTGATTTATGTTACGAAAACCATCCAGAGAAAAAAAAAAGTCATGTTATGAGTGCCTCCAGTCTAAAACACTTAAGAAGCAAAGCTTGAAACCAAGACTTCCCAGTTTTCCCTTTTAGAATATAAATTGCACTTGTACAAAGCAATCCAAAAAGCCTAAATAGCAGTAAAAATCTGAAGCTGCCTTGCTGTACCAAAGAGTATCTGTGTTCAGCATCTGAAGTAGACACAACTAGTTTTCAGCCATTCTGCACACAGAGCCATTTGCTCCACACCCTTCTGCTTTGAAAGGGCCTGCCATTAAATGCCATGCAACTGGGTGGGGAGTAAACAAAGAAATAAAAACCAAAAGCAGGACTTTAAGGCCTTTATCTCCACGAGGAGCTGAAAACTGTGGCACAACCCATAACCAATACTTACTACATAAATTAGCACAATCCCACCCGGGGCTTCCAAAATCACTCATTCTTTCTAATATTTGCCACACAGACAATCAAACCAACAGCAAGCAACAGCACTAATTAAGCATTTTTAAGGTCTTCAAAAATTCATAGCAAAGGGCACTTCTGAGAAAGATATCTTATAGATTTGGTTTTAAAAATAGACACCACACTCACATTCAAGGGACATCCTTCACATTTAAGCCTTTGTCACAAATCTGAATCTTTATTGTTCTGAAATAAATGCTATAAACATAAGACTCAAAACAAGAACTCCAACTTTCAGTCTCAGAAGAGGTGTGGTTCAATGCCCATATCACATGTAACAAGAAAGTCTCCTTAAAAAAGGAAAAAAAAAATTACTGCAAAGTCTTTCTTATGAATGAAAATGCAATCCTTTGTTTTTCTCATTACTTTGTGTACAGGCGGGCACAAAAAAAACTTTTGCATTTTCTTTTGAATTTTTGCTATGACGCTTGACGAACTTTCTGCCATTCAACAAATTCATCCAGAAGTACAGGCCCTGCAAATGGACAAAACTTGGAGTTATAATTGGCAATATCTTTCAAACACCTTTTTAAGTATGAGGGTTAAAACTACTGGTCTAGGAAACATCCATGTCAATCCTATGGTAAAATACCCATAAATTAGTGCCAGTCATTCCAATCCAAGGATGATAAAAAGTGCACAAAAAGAAATTTATGGAAAAAATTGCTCCTAATATCTTACAGGTGGATGAACTGAATGAAAAGCATAAAAATAATCTTGTAAGTCAGCACAACTAATTCCTTCTTACCAAAGTTTTCAAAATGGTGAATAATTAGAACATGGACCAAAACAGGAATCAGGCAATTCAGTCATGGCATGGCTGACTACCAGCCAGGTGATGAGCTCAACCCCAAGTACCAGCAGGTAGGCAAGAATTGTTAAGCTCCAGTTTATTATATACTAGTACAAAATAAGAGTTTGCTGTTTATAATTCTACTTGCAAGTCTACAGTTGCATGCAGCAAGCACCTTCATTAGACTCTCACTGAATACAAGCTGGCTCAATTAAACCATCATAGTATTGACACACTATACCCCTGACAAACAATTAGGTAAAAAATTAATATCTGCAGCTTGAAGATGGATGGTTATCAGGGCTGTTTTTCTATTCATCGTTGGGAAAAAAAACCCTTACAGCATTGTTTCTGTTATAGAAGTTTTATGCAATTTTAACATTCTCTGCTAATATTTGAATAAGCAAAACATTAAGAATACTTACATGCACCATCTTCATCATAGTTGCTAAGATCTGCATGAACAGTCCTGCTGAACTCTAGTACATTGTACCACTGATCCTTGTTCATAACTCTATACTTCGATTGCTAGGAAAAGTAATTTCAAAATATTAAAATGTCAAGTGGCATTTGGTACTCCTGCATCACACTTATTTTATCTTCAATGAGTTCCTAACAAACTATTTAAGGGGTAACAATGGCTATTACTTGATTTTCCATTTCTAAAAATACTACACATTAACATACTTCATAGTTATGAAATGACATAAAATGATTTCGTGGAAGATCAGAGCAGAATCCAGTTCCTCAAAACCTGGAAATCAGTAAGTCACCACTCTAAGCATCAAAACCTGGTATATTTTTGCCTTGCCCTGAAGTGGGGCATATCTAACTCAGATATATTTCCAGAATGAACTATTAAAAAAAAAAAAAAAAAGTCTTTTCTCCAGGGTACAATACATTATGATCATAAGGACATCTACTTTGCCGTGCTAGCACTGTTTTGAAGCCAGGGAATAATATCAAGCCCTATGTGTTCCACAACCTATACATCCATTCACTTTAATCCGTCACTTGCAGCTGAGCTGACTGAAATCTTCCAAAGAGAGTCAGAGATTGAGGTACCTTCACACTATATCTGCACAAAGCAAACTTGAAATGCAGTGTAGATGCAGCTGAAGAGACTAGTGAGGCTCTACTACTTGCTTTCAAATTTATATTTACAGTAAAATCAAGACAGAATTTTAGCTGCCTTTGATAAGAAAAGGGGCTGAGGCACAGGGAGGAAGATGAGGATCTGTGATGCATACAAGAACATCACTGTTTCATAAGCACATTGACCAAGGGAAAGGGAGCAATATGGATATATTAGTGAGTAAAATAAACACAGTATTCTCACAGAACAGTCCAACTACTATGCCAACATTCACAAAGTTAAGGAAACTTGTACCTCCAGGTATTGATAAAATACTGAAAACAGTGGCCAAGTTCTTCCAAGTAGAAGAGCTAACATGGACTTTGCAGTATCAATATCAAGACTTCGCTGGTCTTTTTCCTAAGGTTGAATAAAGAAAGCACAGAAACCAATCAAGTACAAGCTTGCTGAATAAATAAAAGAACTTCCCTAACATTTCAGCAGTCTTACCCTTGCAAAATCAAAGGCGTATCTGTAGATATTCTTAAAGGATGAAATGTCATTCAACTGTGACCGTAAGAAGTCAAATTTACTCTGTAATTTTTCTGTACAGTCACACCTTAAACAAAAAAACCATAATAAAAACATTAGGAGTTCAAAACACAACATTAAGCAGTGAAAAAAATGCCAGCAAACTTAAAAAATTAAAATTGCCAAAACACAATCATTAGATATACAGGAGTAATACTGTGAAACTGACTTATTGAACATGCTCAATATTTGCAGCTCACTGAAATGATGAATGCTGGCTTCTGTAAACATGTTTTTTGTTTTAAATATATCAGCAACATAATATGAAGTGCATGCTTCACATCTCAAACAATAGTCTTTTAATTCCAAACTCTAATCTATATTCATACCCAGCAGTAGGTTATCTTCCAATCACTATCAATGTTTGAAGAAAACATCATTCAGTGTGCACTAAGGGATAAAATCCAGCTGTAAATAATGGGAAAACACAAACCCTAAACATATAATTTTGAAGTGTGTGTTTACAAATAGCAGGATTGAGCAGGCACTCTGCAAAACATACTAGTCTGCTCATGTTTTATGACTGATAAATGCAAGCTCTGATAAAACCTTAATCACCTGAAATAGTAGTTATTCAACTGAAAAATCAAAGGCTGTATGAAAACCTACAGATCCACTAGACAACAGCATAGAGCTTTGGCAAAAATAACCCTTTGGCAGAAAGATCTCCTTGTACTTCACTCAGCAAAGAATTTTGTTTCTAAATAGAAAATGGGTCAGATTCACCAATGGCAAAGGAGAATGCAATTTAACTTTGAAAATCCTCCAGAAAATACTCAGCCAATACAACAGTTATAAAAGGATATTTTATTCCTACAAAAAAGCTGCCATGACTAAAAAAGAATAAATTAAAAAAATTATCTACTTTGCCTTGTATCCTTTGTGAAGAAGCATACTTTCAGAAATGCAGTGTACATAAATACTTCCTTTGGTTATGTGTCCCCCTTTTGCAGCCTGCCTCTCAGAGAATACATTTGCACCTCTAACAGCTCCACATGGACTTGTCACACAGGCCCCCAGCAAGGGCCCTTTGGGGGTACTGCAGGTTGCCGAGATGCTGGGCTTTGGTGCTGTACTTTGCCCACAGCTGATACTTCCTGTTCCTTAGATCTGCCAGCTTGTGTGTGCACAGCTGTCTGTCAGTCTGTCTCTCAGACTGCAACAAGACAAATGTAGCAATTCCAAATGATGCAACCTTTTATTATTTCTTGTCTCTAGCAGCATCTACCTAAAGCAGCACTGAGTCCTAGCCAACACTGGTGCAAAATAAATAAAACTATTAGCTAATTACACTACATATTCAGATGACAACTAGTATATTCTGCGATAAACCATACGAGAAATTGAGAAGAACTTTAGAACTAAAAATAAAATTACTTTTTTTGGCTTCAGCCATCTAATTGGTCTGTATGCTACTACTTAACCCTTAAAACTGGGGGTTTTCTAGCATAGCATTTTGCTATGCTAGAAAGGCATTGCGTTTTTTATTCAGATCTCTTCTATGTGCAAAGCTTCATACTTCCACCCAAATGTTCTACATATTTGAGGACAAATCTACTTATTTGATCTACCTAAATGTTCAAGTCATAAGTGTACTAGTGACATATAAAATATTTATAGTGGGTTTACCACACATTGTTAAATATAATTCAACAGATTATTTACCATATCATGGGTAAATACAAATTTCAGTATGTTTAAATTTCTTGCAAACTACTTTGTTAAAATTGTTCAAATAATCATAAATCTAAGTGCAAAGTAAAATACCAGCTGTTTGTCTACTATACTATTGGTTATGTGTATTTTAATACACAATTGATTCTTTTGAAAAAGTTGGTATGAAAATGAACAATTACTAAGTGTCACAACTCCTAAGCAATTTATTATTAGTGCATTTATAACCAAAAAGCCAAATGGATCATACTCAGACCAGCACCAACCTCTTGATCCTGACACACAGACATATTTCTATTATAGCTGTTTAGGGCATTTCTGTACCTAGCACTGACTTTCCTCCCAAAAAGAGGCAAGGAGTTGTTAAACTCCCTTTTTATAGAGGTACAGCTGCCTGTGTGCTTGTTATCATAAAACAGATGACTGAAATCACCCATACTTAGAATAATCTTCCTAATAATCAGAAGAACATTCTAATTAGCACAAGTGAATTAACACTAAACTTCTGTACAGACACTAGAAAAAGATGCGATTGCTCAAACTGTCTTTACTGAAAGATAGCACTAAATAGTGTTACCTCAAGATCAACAAAAGTAGACATTAGCTTACAACACTCTCTTCTCATCCCTATGTCACATTTTTAACAAAACTAAAATTATCACCACAAAGTGGATGCATTTTAATTTCTGTTGAGGTAGAGAGATAATCTGAGGCATAGCTAACATGAACAAAACCATGATTCATTAACTCCTACTCAGATATTCCAATGTTTTATATTTCACTTGTCTTCTACTAAAAGAAAAATCAGTAAGATGTATACAAACATTAAACCAAAAGCGTTTAATGTTAGTATATACATTTCATCCTAAGGAGGATGAAATAATCGGTCTAGCAGAGATACTTGATTCTCTCTGCTATGAAGACAGCTTACATATATACATACATATATATGTATATGCACACACACACATGTGGCAGAATTCGTCCTGCCTACAAAACGTACTGGAAACCTCCTAGCCTAAGTTGCTAAGGTCTCATAAGATGATATTTAGGCCTCAATTCACCTTAACTTTGGCAGTATCTACCTCACCACACACTTATTTTACCCATCTCTAAACAGCAAACTTCACCAGTGTGTTATGAAACAATATGCAGAGAGAATGTCACTTCAAGATTCAGGTACCCAAATGCTGCCATCTAACTGCAGATTAGAGATAGATATCCTAAGCTCCAGGTCTACCATTTATAGAGGACTAGCCAAGCAACCTCTAAGAGCAATTCAGGTGACTATTAGGTCTTAGGGCAAACTGGATACTTCCCTAGGCTCTATTACACTGACTGGATCTCCAAAGATTACAAGAAGAGTTTAAGAAATCCAGCTCTTGCATATAAACCAAACATTTAGGTATGTTATTATTGAGCTGAATTCCACACAGCACTGCTTATGCAGTTACCTTGTGTGACATTTTACATATTTTGAAATAAAGATTCTGTAACAGAAGTCTATGTAGAATACAATCTGGGGCTTTAATGCATTTAAATCTCATTTATTCATGCAAAAATTAAAAGAAAAAAAAATAAGCTGTGCAAGCATCCAGTAATATTTTACTGTTTCAAGTGTAAACCCCTTTTCCTTCAAACTTGTGTTAAACCTTTCAAGGGAAAATAACCCCATTCCAGATGATATCCCGTAATATGATCCTCCATTCCTAGTAAGCAACAACAGCACAAGTCTACAGGTTTATATTTTCTTTCATCATGGTTTAACCCCAGATAGTAACTAAGCATCACAGAGCTGCTCACTCACTCCCAGCCAAAATCTGCAAGTATTTTTAGCCAATGGATTTTGAGTTATGTGAGCATCTCTGCTTCACCCAGCTGCTTAGCCAGCTTTTTAGAGAGCAACAGTAGAAGCAAAACATACACATTAACTGCTTTAGGCTTAGACAAGTGCTCTCGCCAGAAGTCTTTCTATGAAAATGCACAGCAGCACCCTAGTTTCAGTATTAAACACATTTAGACTACAGCATGACCAGCTCTGTTCTGAAAAGAACCAGAGGATTTTCAGTCAGCAAATTATTAGAAACAAAGTCTGAAGCATCAGCTCTGAACAGGTGCTTGATTTCATACATCTTTGTGCTTGCATTCTGTGAGATTGGCTAACTCTCGAAAGCTTCTATTAAAATAGAAGCATAAAAATTAAATACTTCAGATAAGTGACCAATACCCATTCACTGCATCTGAAAAATCATGCACCCAGAATCTAATCTGTACTCCTGAATTACAGATAATCTAATCATTCCAGCACCTAATTTAATTTCTGGTGATAGTCACAAAATAATCAAGGCATCTATCAGAAGCCTGATCCCAAATCAACTGAGAGTTGAGAGTCAGTCCAGAGCCATAGTTTTGAGTAACCAGAGGGTGGTATATGCCTGATACAATTTCCCACGCCAATCCACAACTGACAGGGCAAGGGAAAAATCACGCCCTCTTTCCCACTGTGCTCTAGCTGCAATATTAAATGCAGTGTCATAACAAGACACCTTTAAAACACTAGGGTACCACAAGTAGTCACACCAAGAACAAACAAAAAGTAACAACTGAATTAAGCCTCACAAAAAGCTGATTAATGTAAGAAACAATCTCTTCAGGCAGAGCATTAACTCACCAAAAATTCAAATGCAAACAGAAAGAGAAATAAGTTAATTTACAAATTGAAAAGGTGTTATTTAACCTAAACATGGCTTCTGATGTACATCTAGTAACACCAATAGCCAAAATTATTATCCATGCAGTTCTCATCTATAAAGCTCAAAAATCAGTAAAATCTTTCCATAATATAAGTGCTGAGATATAAATAAGTAGATGTGGAGATGCACATAAGTATATCTGCTAACTAGAATGGTATTTTAGCATATTGTTGCAAGAAAAGGAAGCCACCAAAACCTGACTTAACTAGGTTTAGACAATAACTCAATCCTTTGAGTGAACTCAGATTAATTTTGCATTAGTAGACCAAAACAAGAACTAAAAGCCAGCTTTCTTTTGTGTCTTATTTCTAACATACATGAAACAGAGCATAGAATAGTTAAGAATAGTTAAGTTACAGGTACAATCATAAAATCAGAACATTCTATTAGATATGTAAAAACACTCTTACTGTAATGAGGTCATTCCTTTTAACCATTCTTCCTTGGTAAAAAATCCCATGCTTTCAGCCTCTAGTTTCCAGGCTAAAACTAACATAATAATCTAAAAGAAACAAAATAAAAATAAGGGGAGGAAAATGAGTAAGTATGTAAGAAAAGGCTGATTTAGTCATGTCCAAGAATAAAACTCCAAAGCATTCAAACATTCTAGCAGTTGTGGTATGCGCCTGGGCTTCATATTTGTTACCATTAAAAAATTTAGCTACATGCAATTTTTTCCCCAATTTCAATTTTTGAAAATTAAGTATTACTATAATAAACCCACCCAAAAAACCCTCACACATCAGCCAAGTATAATTGATGTATTCAGCTGAAATATTGTAGAGCAGCTCCTACAAGTAGGAAGACTAAAAACTCTTTGTTTAGTGGAATTAAGAGTTTTACACAACTTAACATTATCTAATACCCCCTTAGGTGTTATTAGCACTATGAAAGAAACTTACATTTTCAGGTTCAACACCGATGTCTTCACAGAATTTTTCCATTCCTTCAGGGCCTACAACTTCATCAGGACCTTCAAAGCAAAAACCACACCAGAGTGAAATCCAAGTAACATTCACTGCTCATAAGGGTAATGCACAATAATTAGGCTATATTGTACCCAAAGTATTTCTAAAACATTGAATTACACTATTAGGTAGCTTTTAAGCTAGACCTATTCTACCAAGTGCAATTGTGTAGACATGTATGTGCGACACCAGAATGTTTGTTCTGTGCACTGCCTCCCTATGACAGCAGTTGAGCCATTTCAATTTTGTATCTGAGTTTTCAAAAGAATCCGTAGAGCTTCCTATTGACACAGCTCAACACCAATAACTGTGGCAGTCAATTAAGACAATTTAGGTACCACTACTCTCTGCTGAAGTTACTTTATGAATAATGTTCTTCAAAAAATTATTTCATCAACAACAAAAAAATCTAATTCTGTCTGAGCTACTATTACAGATATTCTTTGGATGGTGCTAACATTATAGGTTTATGCTAAAACAGAGGAGGGTGAATCTGAAAATAATATGAGTTTTACAATGCTGAGTAAGACAAAGTGATAACAAATTGAAGAAATGCTGAACACGTTAGTCATATACAAAGCAAAAAAAAGGTTCAGGGGTGCAATGAAAAGAAATTGATTAGGACCACAAGTGTTATGCTGTCATTTCTCCATTTTAATATGAAAGCCTCTAAAATGCAGCAAAACAGTGCATTGAAAGAGTGCATATGGACAGAGTCGAGGGCATTTTGTTCCTTTAATCTCTCGCTGGCTTCAGTTATTTTGACTAAGCATCCAAAAATTACTCATACTGGGCAGCCAAATATTATTAAAAGGCCTGTCAACACAGTATTTTAATAGGTCTTGGATCATTACATTAACATTTATCAAGTATGAACTCATGTAGAAGGCAAAGCTTTTAGCTTCCAAAACAACATACTGCTTCACAACATTTTGGCAAATATTGCTACTTATAATAAATAGATAAGAGTCCTAGATCAACCTGTCTCTACTTTGTCTGATGCCACTGTAGGCAGAATGCTCTTTAAGAATCTGGATAATCTGCTTTGAATAACTACTCACTGTGAGATAAGAACATTGTCAATAAAACCTATTGAGAATGGCTACTTTTACAGAAAAATAAAATCCAACTGACACTTAAGATGACAAACCCCCACCTCCTGAAAAATAAAAATATTGCAAAGGACATTTTGCCTAAGTAAGCAAGGCCAAACAGTGTTAAGATAGAAAATGCTAAAAGGAAAAAAACAAAAGCAAATTATGAAGAGAAGCACATACAAGGTTTCACTGGTAATGACAAGTAAAAGCTTGAATAAGTGTTTCTGGTCCAGAAATCATATGAAAAGCTCATATACATATATGTGTATGTATAGTTTTATCTTTTAATGGAAACATTTTATCTCCCATTGTATATAATTTAACTGGAATTCTATTTTGCACTGGAAATGTGGCATTTATTGATTGCTGGTCAACTAAAAGTATAACCTCCTACATTCAATTCTTGAATGCCAAAATTTATAGACATTAATTCTAAAGAATGTGCAAATAGATTTATCACAAGAAAATTAATAGAGAGCAGATTACTATAAACAAGATAGCTCATTGGTGTGCAAGTTCATTGGCTGCAAGGAAAATATTAGTCCTGACAAATATACTCAAACCAGTTGCTGGCAGATAAATTAGCAGCTCTCTCCATACTAAGACTTGGCAATTAATGAGTTTTAATCATCAACCAGTTATGATGGACTTTAAGTAGTGACTAGACAAGAAATTAACAACAATTTAGAAATCCTGAGTTCAGAAACCATATAACTGGTAAACAAATAGCAATAATAGTGTAGTAAAATCTGCAAAATACACTGCACATTCACTGAAAGCAGCTATTTGATGGCAATTGTGAGTTATTTCAAAGAGGCTACTTCAAATACTTCTGGAATAAAATAAATAAAAGTATTTAGAATATAAAAAATGTTAGTACAAATTCTCAGATGGAAAACCAATATAAACCTCTATTATTTTGTTTTGTTAAACAGAAATCCAAGGAGCTTAAATCATGACCTATATCATTAGTCTTCCAATATGATCACAAAGAAGATATAAGCAGATACATAAGCATCAATCTGAATTATCTCTCAATGTCCTGATCACTAATTGCCAATTTCAAAGCAAGAAATAGAATCACTCATTATATCCTGGCTCAACATTGTACTGCTCAATATCTGTTATTTCATTTTAAAGTTACAAAACAGAGTAAACAAATGTAAGCCAAAAAGAACAAATACCAAGAAGGTAATAATAAAAACTATCCTAATTCAAGTGTGCATCATAAGGAAGCAAATATGAACATATTTTTATGTTTACATCAGCATACAAAAAGTAAAATCCAAGTAGTATTTTATGTATTGCTTTATTTAAAATTAAACCATATATTTTCAAACACAAATCCATTGCATATTACCTGCATATTCATAAAACCAAGCCAGGCACTTTTTGCTTGAAAAATGCTCCTCTCCACTTATTACTTTACCAGATGCTTGTGATCTGCAGTAGCAAATAGAAACACACGGTTGAAGAGTGTTATTTTAATAAGACATATGAAAATCAGGAAAAATTAAATTACACAACATTTATTATTAATCTATTTAAATTGTTTCACATCTACACTTATGCTGAATTTCAAAGAAGTCAACGGTCATCCTCAACTCCTGTTGAGACATAAAATTACCTTTAGATTACAATAATCTTATAGTTTAATTTATTGCATCTACTACTTTTTCTGAAATGCAGTACTGTTATCTTGTAGATATTAAACAAACAAACAAAAAAACCCACACAGATGGCCAAAATATCACCTTCTCAGTAATTAAAATGCCTTATTATCTACTTTTATTTATACATACAGGCATTTAATGTTAGGTCTCTAATAAGCAGCTTGATCTTCAAGAGTGCTGAACATGCACAGATCCCATTAAGGTCAACAGAAGCTGCAGAGTTTGATATATTTAAAAGTCAGGCTATATATAGTTAACCATCCAAATTTGGGAAAAAACTTGGTCAATTGGTTTACATTATACATGCAATTAAGAATGTGCAAATTGTATAGATATTTGCTACATATACCAGAATAATAGTGTGCAATCTGTGATGAGACTGAAGCTGCTCAGCACACACAGCTTTCCCCCATCATTGTCTTCATTATGTAACACACAACCCAGTTTGCCTAGGAAGTGAATTCCCTAATTCATCATTCATTAAAAGAATGCACAGAATTTCTTCCAGTACAAACACCAACACGGGCTACACAAAGACATCTTCAGTCAGTAAGGAGCCGCAGCACCTTTTCAATGCATCCTCCTTTCACACGCAAATTATAGACTTTTAGAACGAGCTAAGGTTATTTCTAACAATGAGGTGAGAACTAATCATATGAGAGGATTTAAAATTATGCAGCTCCCACATTATAATTTTAAAATTAAATCATCAAGCAGGAGAAGAACAGTTCAATTTTGAGAGGGGTGAACAACTTTAACTCCCCATGTGTCGTTTTTAGCTTCAGTGGAGAAGAACACAACACTCTGAAGAAGCAGCCTTCTGTGTTGAAAGCTAGAATTAAAGGAGTCCTACAAACATTCATCCATCCATCCAATTGACATTAGGAACACAAGCCACCAGAAAGAGGCAGTCATATGGTATGCTATTGCTTATTGGCTTTATCCAGATTAACATAAATCTATTTGTAATCACTGATTTTACTAAAGAATATTACCAATAATTTGTTGTGCAAGAACATAATGCCAAAAATGCTTGTGTATCTAACATTTTCTGATCACCTAGCATGAACTCTCACTTACATCATAGTTTTTGCCTAACAACTAGCTCCCTGTAGAACCTGTGTTTTTTTTTTCCTAAGCTATGAAAACACTTTAAGTAAAAGAAATTAAGATCATAAAACTTCAGTTAAGTGTTCTAGAAAGACAAACTGATAGTGAACACATGAAAACAAGTGCTAAGATGAGCAAGGAAACTCAATGTTGATATTACAAAACAAAATAACTTAGTTTTTTAAAGTATACAAAATAAAGTATGAGAAAACAGAAGTGCTCCCCCTAAATGTACTTTAAGGCAGAACCATGAGGGAGTAGAGTGGAACAGAGAATAATGCTGGCACAAGAATACTTATTTATAGGCAATGAATAAACTGACTGAAACTAAAAGGTCATCAATGACCATAAAAAGTGAGCTTTAGAACAGTTACTCAAAATGAAGAGTCATAACAAAGTAAGAGCCTGGGTACTTCTAAGCTCAAGTTTGGCCAGCCTACGAGAAAGGCCATCTGCCACAAATTTTTGCAATAGCCATTCCCGTAGTGTTGATTTCGCAAGTTCTTGGTATCCTCATGTCCTCAGGACCTTAGTAGTAACTACTGCTTTACTGGCATACTTAACAAGGTCTAATACATGAAGCAGGCAGTTCCTTCTGGGAAGACACACTGTAAGCTCCTGCTGCACCGTGCTAATGGTTTATCATTCTAACAGCAACTTTTGGGCGTCATGGCAAAAAGCGATCTTTTTATAGTAGTTAATGAACAAGATGCTTCCGACTCCTGAATTTATCAGAGAAACCTTTCCTGCTCTTATTTTCCAGTGTGCTGACCAATCCTTCCAATTCGCTGCAAAAAAAAAAAAAAAAAAAAAAAAAAAAAAAAAAAAAAAAAAAAAAAAAAAGAAAAAAAAAAGAAAAAAAGGGGGGGCTGGAGGGAGAAGAAAAAAGGAGGAAACGACGATTTAGCACAGACACTGAGTACTGGCAACCTTAAAGCGAGGAGAGCCGCCTACCCTAGGGAAATAGAAGGAACATGAGGACAAATGCCAGTACCGGCCCCTGCGGTACAGCCCAAGGCGAAGCCAGCCGGGAACGGGAGCCGTTCCGTGGCGTTTCTCGCCGAGGCGTGCCCACGCCGCACGCCGCCGCCGGCACGGCGAGCCCCGCACCTGCCCCACGGCACGGCCGCGGCCCCGCCGACCCCGCCGGGCCGCACAGGCCCGCCCGCCATCCCGGGCACCCCGGGGCCGCGGAGGAGCGGCCCGGGACGTGACCGCCGGCACCGGCCGCCGCCCCGCGAGACGGTACCTGCCGAGTTTACATTTCTTGAGGCCGGTATCGTCCGCCGCCGCCGCCACCCCCGAGGACTTCCTCTTCTTCTTCACCGGCATCGTCCTGCCTCGGGGCGCGGCCGCCCCGCTGCCGGGGCCCGCAGCCGAGGCTCCCCCGGGCTCCCTTCCCCTGGCCGCCGCCGCCTCCCGAGACCGGCGGTGAGGAAACGAGAGGAGACCCCGTTCCCGCCGCTTCTCCCCAGCCCCACCGGGCGCTGCCGCTCCCCGCTCGCTGCGGGCAGACGCCGCCGCCTCCCCGTTCGCAGAAGCGGGTGTCGCGCCGGGGGCGGGAGCGAGCGCGGGCGGTATCGGCTGCGGAGGGAACGGCGAGAACGACCCGGACACAGACGGCGCCGGCAGGAAGTGGTAGCGCCGCCGGGGCGGGGCCGCGCCGGGAGCCGCCCCCGGGAGGGCGGGGCTGCAGCGCGTGTTTCCCGGCCGGAGCGGGAGCCGGCGTGCCGGGTACAGCGCGGCGTTCGCAGCGGAACAAGCCGGGCAGCGCCACCCCTTCCAGGGCTTTCGGACCCGCGCGGGCACTGCCCGCACCCCGGGCAGCTGGCTGTCCCGTCAGCGCTGGAGGCGGGCTCGGGGCTGGGCTGCCGAGAGGCGCGAGCGGTGGCCGAGGTCAAGCGCAGCTGCTGGGCGGGGCGGGAGGCGCTCCGTCCCTTTAGAGACCCTCTAGGGAAGCGGCCGGGAGCGCCGAGCGGGGCGCGGATCGCTACGCCCGAACTGACCCGCGAAACCACCGGCAACCACGGGCCAGCCTGTGGTCTCGGTGGGCAGTCTGAGCACTCGCCCAGCGTTCTCCGGGCCCGGGACCGCAGTCCTCCTCGGCCTCGCTGTACCGGGCACCTCGGGCTCCCTAGCGGCGTGGGGCGGGGGCGAGGGAAACACTTCAAGTACTGCAGCGGCCGTGACGCCGTGACGGAGCTGATGGCAGGAGAGATACTTCTGTGAACTCGGGGGAAGCCTGGAAGCGGATCGGGCTGGCCGAGCCCCGGGTGACTCCCGGGCGCTGCTGCCGTGCGAGGAGCTGCGCGGCACCTTCCCCGCCCCGCCCCGCCCCGCCCGCCGGGCCGGTCCGTCCCGCCCCGTTCCGCTGATTTCCGAGCGCGTCGACCGCCGCCTCCTTGCCCGGCGCCGCCCGGAGCTAAGCCGCCTGCGCGCCAGGGCCGCCACCGCCGGTCACCATAGTGACGGGTCCCGACGGCGCCGGGACGGCTCCGGGCCTCTCCCCCTGGGCCCCGGAGCGAGCCGCCGTCCTTCCCGCCGCGAGCCTTTTGGGTCTTCTCCCGCCAGCGCCTGCATGTGCTCCCGTGGCGCTCTGGATCCACCCCCGCCTTGATCCTGCCTGGCGGGGTACGTGCCGCCACCATGGCCGGGGAGGGAGACCGGAGGAAGCGCTTTATTTCAGCCACGGCTGCCAACTACTTCGGGCTGGACCCGGCGGGCGGTGCCGCTGCCCTGGCCGCGGGGCTGCATTCCTGTCCGGAGCTGAGCCGCTTCCTCGACGACGGCAATGAGTTCCTGCTCGTGGTGCAGCACTCGGGCGCGCAGCTCAGCGCCTCCAACAAGGTACCGTAGTGTCCGGCGCCTGCGGGTCCCGCGTGTCCGCCGCGTCCCGGCGTGCGAGCGGGGATGCGGAGCCAGCCCAGGCTTGGCGGCCGTAAAAACTGGTGTCGGATTCGGGAGACATCTCCCTCCTGCGAATATCTGTGCAGATCTGTGTCTGCTGCAAGCTACTGGTGGCTGCTGTGGTTTAACCCCAGTCAGCAGATAAGGACTGTCCGCCAAACCCGCCGCGGGGAGAAGAATCTGAAAGAAAAGAACGCCATGGGTTGAGATAAGAACAGTTTAATAACTGAAACGAAATAAAATATAATGGCTAACTACTAACACACTAGTAATAATGTTAATAACTGTAATTAAAAGGGGCGAAAGAGGGGACTAAATCCCAAGAGAGACAAGAGACATACAGTGCAGTTATTCAGCACCCACTGACTGATGCCCAGCCGGTCCCCAGGAGCGATCGATGTCTCCCGACCAACTCCCCCCAGCTCATGCACTGAGCAGGATGCTCTGTGCTATGGAATATCCCTCTGGCCAGTTTGGATCAGCTGGCCTGGCCATGCTGTCTCACAGCTTCCTTGTGCCCTCCTCACTGGAAGAGAATGAAGCACTAAAAAGTCCTTGGTTTCAGATAATCACTGCTCAGCAGCAAGCAGTATATCAGTGTGATATTAACCTTATTCTCATACTAAACCCAAAATACATCACTGTAAGAAAATTAACTCTATCCTTGCTGAAACAAGAGCACTGTCCCTAGAGTCCACAAAGACCCTATGGTCAGCTGACAATATGTTTTGTTAGCAGATTGTGCCCATGTTGGTGCAGTTTTGATGTACTGTATATTGTCTCTATGTGAGACAATGTGATCTGCGGCATGGAGTCGGATGTTTGATTTCTTCCTGGACATGGCTGCATGCAGGTGTCCAAAAGGATTGCATAGGCAGTGTCTGTTCCATGCGAGGAAGGGACCCAGTGTGCAGCACATTGACTGATGTTTAACAAATCCAAGGTGGGTGTTTGTCCAAAGCATGCATTTTTCAAATGGATGTGTCCAGCTGTGAGGAAATCCAAGGACCGTTGTGTGAAATGTCCTGCCTTGTGTCTTGTGTTCAGCAAGCGACTTTTCAGGTTGCTACCATGGGATGTGATGTGCACTCAGTGTGACCACATAGGGAGGGCATGTGTGGTGCAAGCCACACAGAGTACAGGCAAGGTGTAGGTCTTGAAAATTGGACCTGTCATTCTGCAGTGAGACCAGGGACTTGGCGTCTGTTATGTTGGTGGCTTCACACATGGAAGAAGCATGTGAAGAGTCCTCAACATGTCACATGTGGACCCATAACTTGCATAACTCCTTGGTTAATCCTCTGTGAAGTCTAGTGCCTGCTGTATTCAGGCAAGAATGAACACATATGTGTACCAGTTTTTGGGGGGTGCTGCTGAACCACTGCCTAAAATATGAAGCAGCTTTCAGCAGCTGTGGAAGATGAGATGTATATTGGTGCTATACACTGTACTTGTCTCAGTGAAGCTATTTCTGTAGGAGTTGGGCTAAAGACTTGATAAGAAAATGAAACTGATATTGTCCAATTAAACTGAAAGCTATTCTTACTATGCTTTCTTTCCTTTAACAGAAAAATAGTACACAAATGTTTGCAATTACGCAGAATCTGGGATTTCACTTAGCATGTCTTTTTTCTATTAATTTATCAGATGTTTAATACATTTTCATGTTCTATGAATCCTTCTCAGCCACAAATAATTTCGGTAATTACTTTATGGCAATTTTTGAAATTTTACCCATAGGTTGGGCTGTGGATGGAACATTAGTCATGCTGCAATTTACGATTTTGCTGATGAAGGAGCATGCCCATCTCTGTTCTTGAGAAATCTACGAATAATGTATTTACAAACTCAGGAAAAACATACAGAATATTTAGAATATATAGAAAAATATTCCCAAAGGTTTGTAGCATAAAAATACAGTTTAAAAAATAGGCTTCATGTTTAGCTTCTCTAGGCACAAGACAGAGTTTCTGTTTTGTCCAGAGAAAGAGTTTTCAAAATATAGTAAGAAATTATGATATTTACAGACATTATATGCTGTAGAAGACTTTATGTATTTGATCTTGGAAGTCAGGTTCCTATGGACTAAAAAATGATTATAATAAAATATTTAATATTCTGTGCAAGTCGAATACTACCAGAATTTTATCAGAGGTTAGAGGGAGTAATATGGTATTTTACTTTTTTTCTTGATGCAAATTGTTTGCGTAAATGGTGTATGTAGTTTAGCAGTCAATAATGGCTTTCTAAACAAATCTTCTTTTCTTTATTATTACAGATTGAAGCTACTGATTCAAAGAATAATGTGTTGGTGTTCTTTAAGCTGAGACCTGATGTAATTACTGAAGATAATCTTCACAGTAATATTCTTGTGTCATCTATGCTAGATTCACCAATCAACACCCTTTATCAAGCTGTACGACAAGTTTTTGCACCAGTATTACTAAAGGTGAGCAATATATTAGTTTAATATTCTGTAGATTTATATTAAGACATTAGAATTCAATAGGATGTTGCCTAATTCTGAGCTAAATATTTTATGCTATGAAACCAAAATGTTTGAGGATATTAAGCAATGGGTGATAGTTATAATTTCTAAGTTAAAGAAAGTACTTAGGCTCCTATCAGTAAGGATGAGAGGAAGGGTCTGGTCATACATATGCCTGACTGGAAATGAGGAATACACTGGTAATTGATGGTTAATGTAGAAAACCAGCTCACACACTTTCAGGGTGCCTTTGTAAACCTGGACACTGACTTTTGATTTTGCGATAACAATGTTTTTTATAGTATTATTCTGAATTGTTAATTCAAAAGAATGAGGTGCTCTTCCTTGACTTTAGGGAAAAAAAATTGCTACATTGTCCCACCACGTGGTTGGTACTTAATCTGCATTTTGTATTTTTTTAAAGATGAATGGGGAGAAAATACTAATTGCTCTATCATGTGAGTCATAATTTTCAAAATTTTCATTACAGGATGAGAAGTGGAGTAAAGCATTTGATCCCAAGCTCCAGAAACTTTTAAGTGAGCTTGAAGCTGGCTTGAGTACTGCTCTCAGAAGATCAGATTGCAGTTACACAGGAACAAAATTCAATGAAGATGATATGCGAGGTTTGTTTTGCAATTATGTCTTTTATAGTTAGTCTTTGAATTTGGAGTAAATAATCCATTTACAAATTGAGAGTTTAAGTTTCCCAGTAATTGCACAGTGTGAAATAAAACTGGTTGTTGTTAATAGACTGGAATTGTTTCTGGTCATGCCAGAAAAGCAGAGTTGACTTTTGTACTGCATCTAGTCAGGATCAGAATTTAAAAGATACTTACTTAAGCATATGTAAAAATTTGCTTTAGAAAGTATGTTCTGACTGAACATATTTTATAAACATTCATTTATTTAATATATAAATATTTTCTTTTTTATTTGCAGCTATACTTACACCAACAGATGAATTTCAGTTCTGGAGAGAATGTGCTCATCATGGAAATAAAGGGTGTAGTAAAGAAAGAGCTTCATATTTTCGAGACCTATTTGAGGACATTGCAAAAGTATGTTTTATTTTGTATGATCAGTGATATATTTCTAGACTTAGTAAAAACCACTCTTCCTATGAAATATATGTCAGTATATGTACACTCTTTCCAAATAAATTAATATATAACTATTTAGCTTTTTTTTTTCTTGGCAAAGTTCTACTTTAAATG